AACATTTGCTGTGTTTAACTTAATCTTTAACTATTATAAAAAGGGGATTTGCCAACTTCTGGATGAATAACAGACATCTTTTCTCATCTTATCTCCTCTTGCTTTATGATGCAGGACTACAATTGAATGGGCTAAGTCCCATAACTTCCCATCCTACAGCCAGGCCAAGATGGAGGACACACTTTTGGAGGATCTGAAAGTCAAAGTGGGATTCCCGTATCTCTACTGTCACCAGGGCGACTGCGAACATCTGGTCATCATCACAGATGTTAGGTTAGTGCTACTCATTGTCTAGTTCTGCGATTCAACTTCTTTACAGAGCCCACTCCAACTCTTACTCAGTTTTGGTTATTACTATATATTACTATTACTATAACTATTACAACCTCAAATAACATTTATGTCATATTCTGTGTGTTGCTGTCAATTCAAACAAATTACAGAGAGACTGCGTTATACACCTGCACCTCTGTTCAGCAACAGTTGAATAAAAGCGGTCTTTAAGATGAATTAGTACAGTAATAATGAAACTAGGCCCCCTGAAGTTGAAAGAACTGATTAACTGGTTTAATTTCATGCTTCTAGCAGTACTGTTGGCTCTACCAGGACGGAGGCTTAGGAAGCTTACTGAACCACTACATAAAATCAAGAAGGATTTAGCCCACTGTGTCCTGTGAACATTAAATGGATAGATATCAGCTGAATAGCTCAAGGTGAAAGAGTTTGATTATTAACATTTACCTGGTTCTTTTCTAACGTCTCGCTCTGTAACGAGGGATAACAGGAATTAGTAATATTTATTGGCTATTAGCAAAAATTTCAACCAACAGGAGACCCTACATATAAAAAAGGCTACAGTTCCTAAACAGTGCAAGATTTTTGTTGAACCCCATGCATTAAAGCTGAAAGTGTGAATGGCAATCACAGGCAGATGCAGAGAGGCAGATAACTGTTGACACCTTCAGCCAATTTAGAATAAACAGTTCACCTAACAATACACACCTTGGTGCACACCATGATTCCAGGTTCAACCAGGAACTATTCTTTACTTGCTTTAATGGATGCTCTTTCATTACAACAAAGTCGTTTTTATTTCTTTTTATTGCTGTTGTGCAAACATGAAACACACACGTGCAATAAACTCGAGTTTTCTATTTGTGTCCAGTGAGCAACTTAAAACCGGAACATTTCAGCTGTCGATAATACGGCCAAGTCAAAGTTGAAAAGTTCGAGCTAAAATCATCGAAATGTTTATCTTCTGTTAGTGCGGTAATGTATTAATAGTTTCCGGCTCTTGTTTGGTGGAGTTCACAGTAAAGTACATCCAGATAATCACACAACCAAATAAGCATGCAGCCAAACAGGGTCATTTTAGCTTATCTCAGCTCCTCATGAATAAGATGCTTGGTATGAATAAGAAATACTCATGCCTATCTGGTTTGAGTTAACATCAAACCCTGTGCTTAATAAACCGTAAAGTAATAAACTGATTACTACTGCAGTACAGGAGGTGGATTTGTCAGCTGCAGCAATCCCATCTGACAATGAGATGCATTGTCAGACGGGATTTAACATTTCTCACAAGACTAACGGATGCGTAGTTATCTTCGAGCTTATGTAGTGTTGGCGTAAGCAGGCCGACCGCACATGAAAGCAGCTCCTGATATCATGAATGTGAGACAAATCTGTGTTCCTACCGCTCAGAGCCTGTGAGAATGTCGTCTTCTTCCCTGCTCTTTACCCATTACAGACTGGCCCACAAGAACGACTGTCTAGACAAGAATCTGTACCCACTGCTCACGCACAAGCACAGAGTCCTCACCCAGAAGTGTGCTGTCTGCCATGTTTTCATCGGAAGGTGAGGAGACATCAGGGCGCCGCATAAACAACGGAAGCTTTGTGTTATTATTTTTATTTTTTATTTTTTAAAAGGCTGATCACGTATCTCGTCTTTCTAGATGGTATACCACCAACGACCAGATTGCTCCGAGTGACCCATGTCTCTTCTGTGACAAATGCTTTCGTATGATGCACTACGACGCTCAAGGCAATAAACTGGGAGAATTCTTGGCCTATCCCTATGTGGACCGGGGTGCCTTTAATTAATGGTTCTCATGACTTATTGCTGTATAATACAGTTACATGGTTTATATTTCAGAAGGAAATGGTCTGATACTTGCAACGTCATCAAAACTTTTTTTTTTTAGGGTTTGATTTTCCTCTTTGAGCTAAACAGTAACATTTACTGATAAACAGTTCAGTTGACAGCAGCACGGTCAGTTTAATGTTTAGCATACTTGTGTGTGGGTTTGTCTTTTTTTTTTTGTGTGTAAAGTTATTGATTTTTAAATGCACAAAACAGCTTTTTGATTGATTGAATTCATTAAAAGTAACCGAGTTGTTATGTTTGATTGGTGGACATTTATACAGCTTGTTTAACTCATTTTGATGTACTTCAAATCAATGAGGGTGACACGGAACAGAAACTCGACCTTAGTGAGGTGACAATTTTAAAAGGCTGTCTATTTGTCACCTTTATACTGTACTGTGCAAAAGTCTTGAGCCGCCCCCCTTTTCTTTCTCATTTCTATTTGGTATTTTGTTTCCAGTTAGTCAAACTTTTTTATTTTTCAAGTGGTCTTGAGCAAAGCTTTGTCCAGGCTTTCTGAAAGTGATTCAGTGTTCTCTGGGCTAGTCGTTGTACAGACTAGACCCCCGCCCCCACCTGAGTAGTCTGCATGAAGGATTTGCACCTTTTCACAATGTTTTTTTTTTGCGTAAGTCCTAGTAAATCATTTTTGAGTATGTGTACGTTGTGTATGTGTATTATGTGTGATGCAATACGGCAGCGCTACTAAAGCAGTTAGTTATGGCATGGTAATTTATGGAATATGCTGTGAACTACATAACTAGCCAATTAAAGGCTAAAAGCAAAGTTGTCACCAAGTAATTAGAATACTGGTCATATTTTTGTGTATTGCTGCAGCTTTTCAAGTATTAACTTGGTGCGTTTGGCAACACCTAGGGGGGAAAAATGGTAATATTAAGGCTGCCTGTTTATTTAAGGGAGAGGAAGAATACATTATAATTGTACATAATAATATCATAGATGATAGATTAAATAAATAGATTTTAGGTAGATGCTTGTGCATTCTTAAAGTCTTGAATTTTACTGAATATGACATCTCTAACAAGTTAATTTGTTCACATTTCCACATCTTAATTTTTAAGTGAAATGTTTTTTTTTTTAGTTTATACACTATATGCATATAAGGTAACCTCCTTTTGCATTATTTTTGTGTGCTGCATTTTTCTTTGTTTTAGCAAAAAGAGGAACAACGGTACCGGTATTTAAATCAACCTAGGATGATTTGTTTTAATTTTCACATGGCGTTACTGAGGTGATGCAAAGTGAAACATGCATTCTTTTTTTTGCTAATGTGCTGGAAAAGCTTGAAAATGGACATTGAACGTGCTTAAAAAGTGCTTGAATTTGATGCTGAAAAAGGTGTCGTAAGTCCTTAGAAAACATACAAAAACTCCAGCACATACCTGATACAGAACTCGAGTGATGCATCTGGATTAAGGCTAATCTATTGTTCACTGAAACCATCAGAAATGGCCTCAGTGGAAAAGCAGCTGTCAAGAAGGCATCCTTAAGAGAAAAAGGTAGAGGTATGCTAAACTGCACAATAACTGGACTGAAATTCAGTGTCATGTACGGAGGTACATTGACGGAGGTAAGTCTTTCAGTAGGACAATGATCCCAAACACTGCTAAAGCAGTAAAAAACATACCTGGACTGAAAAACAATGGAAAACTATCGGTCATGGATTGGCCTCCCCAGAGCCCAGACCTCAGAACTATTCCTGAAGACTACTTAAAGAAATTAGATAAATGCTTGCCTAAGAGAGTTCAGGCTTTGTTGAAGAATAAAGGTAACTAAACCTAAACTATTGACTTTAGGGTTGTTGGAATTTTAAGAACTTTTTGCCTTATATCCTCCTGAGAACTGAGGAAAAAACAATCTTCCCATTGAACTTTTTTGTGATTTCCCTTCTCTGGAGCTAAAGGAGTCCACCCAAACACATGAGATATCAATGGAACACCCTGTATGTCCTCCATTTAGTACATCAGGACTTAGTAGGGTTGCTCAAATAAGTCAACAATGGGCGGGGAGGTCAGTTCCTTGATCCTTAATATACAAATTCTCATGACCATTGATTAAAGCCCAGATGAACAGAATCAATGTTTGGGGATTCTCAGGAGGATATACTATTCCGTCATGTATTTTTGTACACATTTGAATAAATCACTGCAGTTTTGTCCCATTTTTCTAGCAAAAATATTAAGAAATGAAGGATGGCTTTAGACTTTTACACAGTACTTCTAAGCTTTTGATGAAGCCTTTCGGCTTTGAGTGACTCTTACAAACACAGTCAAACACAATCAGCTAACACATCCATTGGTTTACCAAGAAAAAAAGCGCACAATCCAAGTTCAACATGTTTATTTGATTTTTCTTTTTTTAATGGCAGCAACAGAACAACAATAACCGCTATGGTTAAACAGGCAAAAAAAAAAAAATCTAAGAAAAATCCAGATGACAGAAAGTGGACTAATCTTTGTTTAATATTATCACACAATATCTGTGCTATCAGCTTTAAAAACTACAGTTGTACTACAGCTACCACTTTGTTATTGGATGCTGAAACAGGTCATCAGACAGGCACAAAAATACTCTTATTTACATCTATGTAAAAAACAAAAAAAGAAAAACCTAAAACAGGCACTGACTAGAAATTAAAGCATTTTCTTGGCTAGAAACTTTGGCAATCTCCACAATTATGTTTTCGTGCATCTGAAGTGGACATGTATGAAACACGCTTTACAGAGTTAACACATCTACTGCTATTAGACATTTTCAAGGTGCTTCTACCTACAGATAATCGTCTGTATTTCCCATAATTGAGGCTAAGATCCACCTGTCGAATCAGTAAATGCTCCAACAATCAAAACCATCTCCACCAGCTGAACCACCCCCCCCACCTCCCACCAGATGGTTCCCACACTAACTCTCTCCCATCCTCGTTAAAGTTTGACAAACTCAAGGTTGCAGATTTACAAGTCGTGTCACTACTCAAACAGATGCATCTAAGCAGAAGGTGTCTAGAAGTTAAAGATTACAGACAGCATAAAAATAAAATATATGCACTCAGTCGCGATCCTGGAGTTGGGCTGATGAAAGCTTTCAGCAGCAGCAATGCAGAAAAAAAACAACAAATCAATTAAACTGGTAACCAGTGGTTGTCATCAGTCACAAACTGGGCACGAGATCTCACGTGATCAGCCCAGTTTTACAGCAGCAAATCTCCCTTCTTCAGGCCTGCAAGACACTCAAGTGGACTCCTCCTGAGTTTTCGGGGCACTACAGTCCAAAATAAAGAATAAAGGGATAAAGGTTAAAACAGTTCATTAAAAAATAGTGAGGATAAAGTCTTGATATTTTATATTTACTCATTTATTTTTAGTAAAAACCCTTGGAAGACCAAACGTTATCCTTCTAACATGTATGGCTCATGTAGCACTTGTGCACAATCAATGGAAACTAAAATCATCAACCCTTGTGAAGGCTAGATTCAAAATCATACCAAAAATTTTAATCACAAGCATACACGTGCCTGGGGATGCTGTTTGTTGTTGCTTCTCTCAAACACCATCATAAAGTTCGCGGATGACACCACAGTGGTTGGACTCATCTCAAGGGGGGATGAGTCGGACTACAGAGATGAGGTCAACAGACTGACTGAGTGGTGTTCAGTTAACAACCTCCAACTGAACACCACGAAAACTAAAGAACTTATCTTGGACTTCAGGAAGGGCAGAGCAGCCCCACTTTACATTCACGGGAACTGTGTGGAGAGGGTACGCTCCATGAGGTTTCTGGGCGTGCAGATCTCTGATGACCTCTCCTGGACTGCAAATACCACGGCGGTGGTTAAAAAGGCCCAGCAGCGTCTCCACTTTCTGAGAGTGCTCAGGAGGAACAACCTGGAGGAGAGGCTGCTGGTGACATTTTACAGAGCCACCATAGAGAGCATCCTAACGTACAGCATAACAATATGGTATGCAGGGTGCTCAGCTGCAGACAGGAAAGTACTGCAGAGGGTCATCAACACAGCCCAGAAGATCACTGGCTGCTCTCTGCCCAGCCTGGAGGTCACTACAAACTCTCGGTACCTCAGCAGAGCTGGCAATATCATCAAGGACCACTCTCACCCCAGCAACCAACTGTTTGAACTATTACCGTCAGGCCGACGGTACAGGTCACATAAAACCAGGACAAACAGATTCAGGGATAGCTTCTTTCCCAGAGCTATCACCGTAGTAAATAAGGACAAAAACAATTGAACCTATTCCATACCGTCACTGTCATTATATTATGCTGCTATCCTGTATATATTGTACATACTATTGTTTGAGTACTTACGATTGTTTTTTTGTACTTTTTATATTTTACATTTATATTTATTATTGAAACTTGCACCAAGGGAGTGGCACTCCAATTTCGTTGTACTCTGTACAATGACAATAAAGGCTATTCTATTCGATTCTATTCTATTCTATTCTCCAGTGCACCTGTATTTAATTTGCACCAAAGCAGATGAAATCACAGTGCTTGATCCTTCCTAACTGGACAGACTGAAATCCCTGCAGTTTAACTGACTCTGTGTTAGACAGTGATGACCAAGAGCTACAGTGTATTTGAGAAACTGAATTTCAATGTTATATTTTACTAATGCTCTTTATTTAAAAAACAAAACAAAAAAACCCAGAAACATAGGAACAGAAGTTCCAGTCCCCTTTAACATCAAATCTCTTAAATATTTGAATGCATTTTCAAATGCCTACTTTAAGTCATGAGCAGGAGGCAAGGGCCTTGATTCTGTTAATGGAAGTAAGAAAACTTTATCAAATCAGCACATAACAAAATAAGCTCTAAAGGCTTTATTTCCTTCATTGATTTTGTGACTTGTATGAACCTCAAAGACAAGGTGGGAGTGGGCAGGTATCACACAGCACCTTCCAGGATGACCTTTTGTATAATAGACCAAGAGGGGGAAAAAGTTAACAACCCACATGTGTGGCACTGCCCTGAAAACTATGTATACATTATGAATTGGAGTTATATAACCAGCACTAATGGGTTCAACTGATTTACACTGACAGTTTCTGTTGAGGCCATCAAGCATGCAGGAGGATCACAATCAAGCTTGTGTTCTCAAAGCTACCTTTGATTCTCTCCTGCTGAAGCATCTTCGGGAAGCCTCTCTCTCTCCATCTCCTGCTTCTTCTCGTCGGGGCCGACATCACCATTTGTCACTTTGTCTGTTCGGCAGAGACGCACAGGCTGAGTCAAACAGAGTCATCGCTGCACAACCTGAGCCATGACAGGAGCATGTGATGGCACATGACCGGTCAGGATCTTACAAAAATAAATACGATTTTCTATCCATTTGACATGCTATGCACTTTTAAAAAAAGACCTTTCATAAAAGGCACACATTTTGATAGTAGTACTGTATTTTCAAGCAAGGATGTGGTAATTAAGGTTAGTTTTTCTGGAAAGGATGCAAACCACACTGATCCTGTGACGTCCCCCTGAGAAGGGGAGAAGAAGCTGATAGCAGAGGATCACTGTTTCTGTTTACTGGTATTTATAAGTGTGTTAGAAGTTCATAATGAATTTAAAATAATGAGCAGAAAGTCCTAGATGCAACTTTATCCCATTTCTGTTACTGTATTCCCTTGCAGTCATCAAAATAGCTTATAGGTATCTTATTTCCATATACCAGTTACCATCATCACTAGCTTGTGCCCAGGGCTCAGTCACACCCTTAAAGGCTGAATACGTAGTAAGCGCAAACCTTCTGCTTAACGTAATGCAAAGAGATCTGTGTTGCCTTAACTGACAGAAAACTGACATTTTCTGTTATTTCTGCCATTTCCACACAATTTGATAAAAACTTTCTCCTACTCACCGTTATAAGAATAAAATCCATCAGACAACATACTGTATATAAAGGATGGATGCAGCTACCATGACTACACCTACTGGTTAGTGACATTGTCTTGGGAAACCCTGATCTGAGTTCTTTAGCCTTTGCCATCTTAGTGTTTTAAAAGCATATGTCACAAGTATCTGAGGGACACTGCACACTCTCCAACTAGCAATCTTGTTTCATCCTTGTTCTGAAGTTCAGTGGGGGACCATAATTTCCTAAATGACTGTCACATTGTAATAAACAAGATTCCAAACCAGGGACTAAAATCATCTCATCGGGGCAGTCATTAGTCATTGAGAATGGGAGGCGAGGGTTGTTTTCCTTGAAGCCAGAGGAGTCGGCTCCTGGGAAACAGATCTGCATCATCAGTCCTAAAGAATCATTACAATCCTGCAAATCACTGGATGGAGAGCAGCCATCATATTGGGCTATTTGGCTCGACTTGACTCGGTTTTGGTCGTTTTTCATGACAACCGAGCACCACCTAATATCCGTGGGGTTGTTATATCAGCTGACAGTCCCGTGATGTCATTTGCAAGAACGCCAAAACAAAGGGGGACGTCAAGGCGATGGTATACCGGCTGCTCAGTTTATGGCTTTTTGTCAGACTCGAGGACCACAGTGGTGTTTTTTTATGACACCATTTCCCCTCGTGTTGATTTTCATGTGGGAGAAAATCTTTTGATTTATTGAGTAATTTATTGAGTTGACTAGCCAATCAGTGGTGTGCAGTCTGTTGACATCACATTTTCAGATCACTGTGAACTCTGGCTGAGTAGGTAGTAAAAAAAGTGCCTGGTAGCAGGTACTATCACCTACTGGAAAACGCCCCGAAAAACCAAGTCGAGGCGTGCATGGATAAGACCTCCAATTAAGGTAAACTTTTATTGGCACCAGTCAAGTGGAAAACCTCTCTCACTGAGCTCACATGCTGCAGTTATACCAGCTTTAATACCAATGTCTGCATTGACAGTTAATGTGGTGAGGAGCTGTTAAACCACAGTGAGTCGTTGACTCTTTACTCACTCATAAACCTTTGATCGGCTCCCCTGAACTACAAAGACAGAACCCTAAATAACTGACACCTCAGGCAGATTTTCTAATACAATGTCAGTGGCATAATACAGGAAAAAATATACAAGCTCCAAGGACCATATATAAAGCTTCCAAGTACAAGGAGCTGCTGGTGTCAAAGTTCTTAGAATTATATTTCAACAGAATCCCTCAAGATTAAGATTATAATCTGATAAAGATCAAAGTTATTCACAAAACACATACCCCTTATGAAAGCTCTTAGATAAAATGGTAGTTCTTAAACAGAGCACAAAAGTAAGAGAAATATGCTCCAAGGGAAGACAGTTAGTGAAATGTTAGATCATGTATTGATATAGTTTGTGGTCTATCTTAAAAAGCTGTGCTCATCTCCCACCCAGCACAACAAGGCTAAAATACAAAAATGAAACACACACAAACATGGTAGCATTCACAAAGTCCAGGAGTGGCTGCAATCACAACACAATAAGATTGTCTCTGCTTTGATGCAACATTTTTGCAAAATACATTTTGCAAGTGTCCAAAAATATATAGGCCCATGCATGCTAAACAGCTACTGTAAAGGTAGAAAGAAAGAATGTGATGATCTGTACCCGAATTATTTTCTTTGGCTTGTTCAACCCTCTTCAGCGCTCCTTTCTTTGCTTCTTCGTGCTGCCGTTGTTCAGCTAAAGATTTGTTCAGCACCTGGCTGAGCACACAGTCACCCTCTCCAACCAGAAACATGCTCTTAAACTTATTGTACAACATGGTGGCCTTGTCCATGATATCCTGGCTTGCTTTGAATCTGCGAATCTAGGACATGAACAAATAAGGAAGGCATTACCACTCATGAAATAACGCTGATGCAGAATGCATCCAAAATAAGACTCCTTCATGCTGTTACCTTTTTGAGCGTGGCGATGAGTTCGCTGTGTTTCTGCAGATGCTGGGTTGTGACCTGAAGGGCACCAATCTCATCTAATGCATCCAGACACTTCTTCACATCCTAGTGACAAGAGACAGGGAAAAATACAGATCACATGGAAAAAATACAGATTTTTAGAAGATACACCTATGGTATCAATTTGAGGCGATGCCAATACCACATCAGCATTATAATGAGGGGTAAAAATAGGAGGAAAAATGCCAGTTATGTTTTCCCACAGCCCAGTTAAAACTGAGTGAACTAAAGTAAAAGCTCATGTGCAGATCTGAGCCCCGACGGACTGAATAATGCAAGGAGCGCATTAACAAGGATGGAGTAGCAGGCTTATTCTTAACCTTAAGGTACCCACATAAGAGTCCAAGCATTCTGGCATAATTTAAACAGTGCAATAAAACCACAATGAGAAAAGTATGCGTCTATGGGTAAATACTATTTTAGTCTTTGATGGATCCTTTAGATGAAGCATTGACGGGTTTAACACCTTTTGTCTTCATCAGCTCAGTGCAGGAGAACACTGATTCATAAAGCTGTCAGAAGAGAAATGTGGACTGAGTAACATGTAAGATTTGAGTGATGTGAACTTACAGGGTTGTCAATTTTCAGTGAAATTTTGATGTCACTGTGCAGTCTCTGCAGTTTCAAGTCAGTTGACATTTCTAAGTGAAGAAAGAAAAGGGAAGAAAACATGATTATTCTTAAATAACTACTTTTAAAAAACTTTACTGAAATATAATTAAAAAATATTTTGATTGGTCACTAAAATCTTTTTGCACCTACAATTGACTTTTAGCTTGCCACAAAAATATGAATATATATGTTTTTTTGTTTTGACCGCCAAAATTACCTTTTTTCTTGGCTCCTGTCCTCTCTTCATTTTTCTTCTCTTCATCTCTACCTGGTCTACGAGATAGCAATAAATGCAACATGTCATAACTCTATCCAGGATTACATTTTATCATTTGCTCTGAGCTTCTGATGACTACTGTGTATAAACGTACTCTCTCAATTCATCAGCTTTCCGCCGCCGCACATCTTTGTCCACATCTGCATTTTGCTGTTTCTTTCTGCCTTTATTTTTCTGAGATTAAGAGAGATTAAGGTACTCAAAAGCATGTTTTTATGACACCTCTTTCAGAAACAATGATGGCAGTGGGAGAGTCTAATTGCATAGATACTTGCCTCTTCATCGTCAGAGCCAGAGGAACTGTCATCCTTGGACTTCTTCTTCTTAGCTTCAGGCTCCTTTACTTCTGTGTCCTTTCCTTCCTTCTTCCTCCTCTTCTCTTCCTCTCCACTTTGGGTCTTGTCCTCTGTTGTCCTCTTTCGCTTTTTGTCTGACTCTCCAATCTCCCTAAATAAAAAAGATAGAGAAAAATGCAGTTTTTATACTGCTGGGCTGATTTGGCTTTTAACATTCCAGTGAAATCGGGGTTTCAGGATCTGGCCTTTATGCAGGCTGAAGAGCATCAAAGAGCCACTGCAGAAACTGTGCAAAGAAAGCATGAAGCTTCTGTGTCTGCGTGAATTTTGTACGGTGTCTGTTGATAATCATGTAGTTACATTTCACTGCCGGAGCCTTGCTGTTCCTGCTGCTGAAGCAAAAGCAACTTCTCACTCTTGGGCTTCCTGCCTCTTCGTTTAGGGCCTTCTCCACCTAATCACATGAATGGAGACACACAGACGCACGATTCATTTTGATCATATGCAGAAGTTATGAAGGACAGCTGTCCAGTCCTATAATAATGCATTGTTAACAGTTGCCAGTAAGTTTAATGTATATATCATACAGGCTACAAGCTGTAATGAGTATATTCCCACCTCGTTCCTGTGTATTAGATGTATTGTCATGAATATGAGCTTCTGATTTATTAACTTCTCATTGCTCCTACGTGATTATCATACCAGCACCACAAAACAAACAGCCTACCGGTGGGACTAACAGGACTTGCTGGTACATCATCTTTGTCATTCTCCTGGTCAGCATCACTCTGAAATTCAGGAAGAAATAAAAGAATTTAAAAACAAAGTACTAAAGACTAATTAATAAACAAAAACAAAAAAAACTATAATTTATTGTTATTACACTTTTTCTTTTAAACTAAACAAATTAATAGCCAGTGCCAACCTTTTTCTTTCTTCCTCGCTTGGGTTTAGGTACATCTGGTGATTCTTTCTGAGCAGAGTCCTAAAATTATTGACACATCCAGTTATTTTAATCAGAACGCACATCAAATTTGAGCTTTCTTTGTTATCTCATTAACATAAGAAGGAAAGCTGTAGCAGTAAGAGAATGAGCAGGTAAATGTCCTCCCCGATTAAAAAAAAAAAAAAAAGCATCAATCTGTCTTTGACTTTGGTGGTGGTTGTGATGGTAGTGGGGGAGGGGGTGTCAGTGGCACCATCTAGGGTATACCTGAAATACTACACTCTGTTGGGGTATGAAAACTTCAGTATGAATCAGTATTTATTAAAGAAATAGGACAACTTGTGAGCAGTCACAGCAGGAAGAATGTCATAGTAAAATAATGTATTTTAATTTAATTGAATTATGAGTCCTGACTTACCTTTCTCCAAGGTACACAGAAAGCCATGCAAAATAAAATACCATTAACTGATTGAAAACAGTACTTGTGCATTATATGGATAGGAAAAAGCAGGAAATGCAAAGCGCTGCAGCAGGACGTCAGATTAATCCCAAAGAGGTGAAAAGAGACGAAGAAGAAATTACACTTTTGTGTTTTCTTTATAGCCGCACACAGAACTGGGTCTTGAATGAAGACAGATTAGATCTACAGCCATTTCCACTGGTAGCTTTGACCTTACCTGAGCTTATTATTATTATTATTTCATCTAGTGAAAACAAACAGACTGCTTTCTTAGAAACCTATCAGCTTCTAAATCAGCGATCACCTCAAAAGCATTAAAAACAGCAAAACCCACACCAGGCTCTCCGATCGAAACGTCCAGCACCGGGGAAGTTTTGTGGCCAACGACAAGAATTTGGAGTCAAACAGGAAAACAAACAAACAAACAAACCAAAAACTCGACCAATTAAATAAAAGCACCAGGTGTCACATGCTTTTCCCAAGGAGAACAGAATAACCTGCACCGCTTTAGGGCGTCACAACATGCAAAGTACGTACATCCTGGTCCTGATGACCCTGCTCAGAGATCAGAGACCCTTCCTCCTCCTCCTCCTCCTCCTCCTCCTCATTCTCATTCTCCTGCTCAGCCTCACTTCCTGGAACCTGAATGCACCCAAGACACAGCATAGGACGCAGCGTGGTGGGGTGAACGAGTCTTGAAAGGGAGAAAAGTTAGCGAGTATTCTTCTGCTGCACACACACACAACTGTTGGCATAAAAGCCTCTGAAGCAGTTATCAAAGAATAGCAAATAATCTGTGAAGCTTTGGCTGCAGTCATATGGTTTTCATCATAAAGAAGGCAAGAGGAAGACTTGAGGGCTAGCAAAAAAACAAATAAATAAACAAAAGGATAGAAGCTGGTGACACAGGGACAAACGAGCAGAAGGTGAGTGCAGTGAAGTGAAATACAGTCTGCAGAGGGGGATCTGAAGAGAAAAACTTACTTTGGCTTTGATCACCTTGTCATCTGCATCCTCTTCTCCTTCTGGACTGCTGTCTGAATCCTTCTCACCAAAAGACTGAGGGGGAACCGGCTTCAAATACAAACAAAAAGGAATTTGGTTAAATTAAACTGGGCAAAACAAACACAAGACGAACAGGGCTCAGAAGTAGCTGTGCACATTCAGTAATGTCAGATGATCCGAACAGGGCGGCAGGAAACAGGTAATTTCTTTGAAGTTAAACAAATATGACCCAAACTATTAGTGTAAACAAACCATACTTGAGTTTTTAGGTAGCTAAAGGCTAAATGCTCTGAATGCAAACTGGTGCCCACTTATGTTTGTCAGCAAAACAGAAAGCCGGGCAACAAGTTTTATAATGTATATTCAATCCCAATGCCCTGATGTCTGCAGGACAAATACTGGGACAGGTTTTGGAGAAGACAAAAAAGAAAAGAAAAGAGGAGGATATACCTTGGGTGCAGTAAGCTCCACTTTTGGGTTGTTCTCAATCTCCCACAATCCTTCATTGAATCCTTTTCTCTTGTTAGGCTTGGCATACTTCTCTTTGTTAGGGAGGTATGGAAAAATGTCTTTGGGGCCAAGAAATGCACTGCAGAAAAAGATGTTTGTATATTTAATACTTTTTTTGCTGTGTAGTATAAAGTCCGGTGAGTACATGCACTGCTAGGACTGACAGGTCTCTAAAATTTTTAAAAAAAATAACAAAATGTACTTCCATAACCACTGAAGTCACCTTCCGGTCATTCCAATGACTCATAAATACAATGAAAAGGTCACATGTATCCTTCTACAGTTTTAAGTCAGAGTCATGTGAAACCTCTGTAAAGATCTTCAACAAGTTTACCCAGTTGAATCTCTTCAGATCACTCAGACCAAATGAAACATGCAGAACACCATAAGTACATCAAACTGAAGGAGGTGTCAAGCTGCCTGTTACTAACGTTTCATGGGTGCCAAAGAAGAAAATAGGAAACTTGACGTTGGATGGCTTCACTGCACCATCGGGTACTTCATCGATCTGGCAAAGACATAAGAAAAAGCAGGTGTTTGCTTACAGCTGTAAATGGTAGTGGCTTATTTGCCTGGGTGCTTGTTTGCACACGATCTGCCTTGTTTGTATGTCTTTCCACAATATAAGCATCGCACTTACTCTTGCAGGCCAGTGTGGATAACCCTTCATCTTGGCAAAAATCAGATCGCCAGGTTTCCAATCGCGAGTCATGTTGGACGTATCACCAAGCTGGAAAAATCAGTAAATTTAAACTTGCATCAATATAATGTACCACATTGTGATGCGTCTTCTCACCAATGGGAAACCCTCATTCAATGCCCCTCCCCTAACCACAACCAACATCCTCTGGAGTCCGGAGTTCATTCAAATATGACAGTCACGTTTGCTGTGATAAAACAGCCGTATATTATATGGATTTGTTTGATGTGTTCATGCTAATCTTATCACTGGCTAAAACAAGTGAAAGCCCGGTGTATTAACACGCGCGAGCGATGCAAGCAAAGCGAAACGCTTCGTCAACAAACACACACGCTAGCTACCGTTTAGCCATTAATTGCTAACAAAACAGCTTCTTCCACTGACCTCTAGCGTTTAGAGACTTCCGCGGGGAAGCAGGCTATTTGCTGCGGTTCGAAAAATCGATAGTATATCAGAATTGTTAATAAGAAAACAACCTGCTCTTTTCCTTTTCCGCACACTCGGATGCACGTTTTCCGCTCCCGCGCAGGACGTCAATAGACTGTACCAATACAGTGCAGTTCGGGGGGAGTCGATTTTAATTAAAAGCCACTACCTGGGTTTTTCTCTGTGTATCAAATCGAGCTCAACCCATTACAATAATTAAATAAACGCCAAATGCTTGTGATGATTACCTGGAGTCTTGTGCAGCATGTATTTGAGGGGTAATAACGCTAGTACCCAGTTGGGATGGATGCAGCTTTAGTAGGCGTTAACGTCTGCGCATGCGCTTTTATATAAAAGCTTAAACCGATAAGCGCTGACGCTCAAAGTTGTAACTATGGAAACTTATAAGGGTCGGACTAAGGAAAGATACAAGAATTCTAAACATTTACATTCAGTGTTAATTCTGATCCAACAGTCTGATCGCTCAGTACATGTTCCTGGGACATGAGAGTCAGAGTGGGAGGTCGGCAGCTGGTCCTGATGCTGCGGATGCCATCTATCTCTCATACAGGGATGGTATATTTTAATCTTATTTTTAATGCAATATTACCTGAGAGACAAAAAAGGCCTTTAATTTTCTCATTTTATTGTAAACCAGCATCACGAGGTGCAAAAGCCTGTGCTTGATGTGGTAATCACTTGGAATATGATGGCTGACGTCCCGACTCAATTTGGTTTGTATTTAGTGACATCTAGTGGACAAATCTAGGTATAACACATTGACTGAACGCAGTCCTGAGTTTGTAATTATTACAGTAAAATACTTATGTGTGGTCTTCATTTTATTACACTCCCATGAAAAAAAATTTCGGTTCCTGGTATTATGAGGAGTTCAATACTACAGTGCATATTGCAAACTACCAATGGACACTGGAATCTCTTTTTTAGAGTTTCAAGCTCATCTGTTTTACTAACTAATCTTAGAGTTATAACTGCTATTTTCTTATCAGTTGATGCCCAGATTGTTCTCTTAATTGATTAGTTAGCTGCTTAAATCTCCTTATTAATTTCGTGGCTCTTAATGCAAGTCTTCAGATGTGCTCTGTCTGACCAAAAGCTTCTGAAATTAGTTTTTGGACCTCACTATTATACAAAGGCAGTTTAATTAAGAGTGATAAAACACTGGAGAGTAGCATATTTACCTATTTCTAAAGTTGGCTACAGGCAATATTCACAGACACAGACATATATAAAACACACTCATATGACTATATAAATGTAGCCTATTATTGCATCAGCTTTTCTCACAAATGTAAATATTCTCTTCTTTGTTCCTCCATGTTTTATATACAGGCTGAAATGTACTGTAGGAAAAGTTATCAAACTAATAAAAATATCTTTCCATAAGTCATCCACAAGGCTCTGAAGCACTTTATACTACTATAAGACCTCAAATGTTGTAGGTAAATGAAGGTGACCTTAGCACTTGTGGCCATACAGATACACAAGTGTACATAAATCTAAGTGTGTGTGCTTGTGTGTATTATCAAGACAATAGAAGATGCTGATAGTTGAAGGACAGATGCACCAGCCACTTAGTCCCAGAGAGGGGGATAAGTGAGAAGAGGAGGCCAGTGTGGGCCAGAGGAGGGTGGATGAGAAAAAAGGAGAAGAGAACGAGGTGGAACCCAGGTCCATGCCCAGGAATAACTCACAGGAGCTACCAGGCCCCCTGCCCAGCCTGTGAGGTGAGAGACCTTAGAGTTGGATCCCAGCCAGCTTAGTGGGGTTCCTGCTTAGACACACGGCTATGGCAGAGGCCCGGGGATGAAGGTATAGAGAGATGACAAGATGTGTGCATGTGCATGGACGTGAATGTGTATCCTTCACCCTGCCAGACGAGGAGTTGGCAGAACATCCCAACCCACTTTGTCTCTGAGGGCCACAAAGTCCTGCAATCCTTCCTCACTCATTTGTTAACCTGCCTCTCTTCTTCGCGGCGTCCTCGCTCATGCTGAGGGAAGCTACTTTATATATGACCACTGCCATTCAAAATCACCTCCCTACATTAGTGCCGTCCTCTGGACCGCCATGACAATGAGACAGCCTAGAAAGGAGACAGCTGGACTTCATGGAAGCTGTGCAGCATTTAGAGCCACAGAGCTGCCACAGACAAATGGAGCTGCTTAACTAGCACACACAGACACCAAAAAGGTAAAAGTCTGACTCTCAGGTGAGCTCTGATGTTAGGGCACTTTATGTTAGTTTTCCAAATAAAGGAAGCAGGTGTTCAGAAAGGTTCCCTGCAAAGAAAAACAAAGTCCATGAAGCCTTACCTTATATTAAGCAGTGCAATCGCAACCATGGAAAAAAGAACACTTTGTTCTATTATGAGTTAACTGTGTTTCCAACTGTGTTGGAAAAAACATAATGCAAAACCCATGGAAGGCAAAAATAATAAAATCACAAATGCCATAAAAATGTATGCTGGCAATAAGGTTTTGTATTTGAAAAAAATGTTTTGAATTTCATGGATGAATATTTTATACATAAAATGTCATTTTAAAAACATGAAGCCAGCAGCGTATGAAACAGCTGACGTAGCTCAGACAGGATTCCTGCCCCTGTCCCTGCCTCCAACTCCCCCCACCAGGTTCATGCACCCCTCCAACACTTTCTAGACCTGTTTTTTTTAGCCAGCCACTAGATGGCCTCAGACTTTTCCACTACTTTCAGTCACACTTGCCAATACACCTGTTCTCTTCACCCCATTAGCCACACCACTACTTAACCAGTCCAGCTTTTATCGTCTTAGTGCTGTCTCTCACAGGTGTGTGCATGCTCTGTAACTGCACTATATCTCGTATTTATCTGAGCACATTTTGCAAAAAAATAAAATCAGCTTTTACTTGAGTTCCATTTTCCGAGGAGGACTTTTACTTCTAATGAAGTGATTTCATACTGTGGTGTTTCCACTTTTACTCAATTAAAAGATCTGAATAATTGTTCAGTGGCTGTGTAGCTGAAATCAGAGGACAAAAGTGGGAGCAGAGCCACAAAATCCTCTTATGGGGGTTTTAAAAAAATAGCTTTAAGCAAACAACGTGTTCCAGTAGAGTATCATAAAACATCGGAATAGTTTGCATTTAGATTTAAAATTACATTAATTAAAAAAGTTTAAATCTACACAATAAAACTTCTGTTCTGTGCAAGTTGGTTAAGCTCGTGCATATTTCATGTGCAATCAAGCTTTTTGTGCTTGTATCTGAAGGCGTGTGCACATTGGTTGTTTGACTAAACCTATCCCTAATATACAGATAAGCTGCTAAGACAAAAATTAGAGTCCACGTCTGTCAGGTTTGTAGCTCCAGATTGCCAAATCTGTACAAGCTGCATTTCCCCCCCTTCTTAAAGCCTTTGTAACAAAAACAAATACCCCCAAAATCCATAGTGTGGAGTAAAATGAGCAGAATTTAATGCCAAGCAAGACTATCTTCTGTCTTTCAGTGTAAGTACGAGTAATGTTGAAAATGTACAAAGGTTTTTCCCAGTCAAACTTTGATGAAATCATCGATTTGGGTTTTTGCACACTCCTCTGTGGCATCATCTGAAGGGCACCTTCTCCTGACTTGAATGAATGATGGTGTCCTTGAGCTTGTGCTTTCTTTTTATGTGCGTGTGCGTGTGTGTCTATGTGTATGTATGTGTGTCATACACATGGATTGGCATCTTTCCCCTTACTGCTGGCAACCCTTCAGCATGTTAGGGGAACGGCCGGGGTGCCACTGGAGAATGATAAAGTAGTCACAAGACAGGTCAGTACATTCATTAACACCGTGGCAATATTTGTTAATAAATATGGCTTAATTTGGCACTGACTTGGCAAAGAAAGCCTATGATGATTAGAGATGAAGAAGTACAGTGGAAAGCAGTCACCAGACGAAAGAAAAGTTCCAAGCACAGGTGTCATATTTAATGCAGTCTGGACCCGCACTTGAAGCTCTAATTCATTAAAAGTGAGAATGAGTGGGTGTTCAGAGTATGGGACTTCTAAAGGAGACGCCCAAGAGCTCCACACAATCACCAAAACATTCAAAAAGGCAGGAAGGTGGCGAGGAAGTGGGAGGAAACAAAGGAGGAAGATGGAAAGAGTGAGGGACTAGGACAGCAGGTGGATGTGTGAAGGCAGGGGATGACAGATGCTTCTGTCAGCGTTCCAACAGTCGCCGCTTTGTGGGAGCAGCGCAGATGCCTTCTTCCCCCCTCCCTCCACGACTGCCCTCCTTCTCATCCCTCCATCCCTCCCTTCCTCTCGACAGGCTCTGATGCGGGGATAACAAGACAGGAGCAGTCCTCTCAGCAGTAAAGTGACCACACTGGCACAGTGCTACATGTGGACAGGGGAGGGGTGAGGTGATGGAGAGGTCCAGGCCTGCGCCCAAGGCTTAAGGAGGTCTCAGTGGCGGCGGGGGTGTGGTTATAAATGTGGGGGTCAGTGCGCGAGGACAGGGGAAGGGCTCTCTCGCTGGGCTGTGGGAACCAGCTGAGACATGGGGTCCGTGGCGGTCCTGCCTGTGAGGAAAGCAGATGTTTTCGCTCGGGGGTGTGCCAAGTTTGCAGAGCAACCTTCAGCTGCTTGGAGGTCAGGTCTTTAATAAGGGGGCTGGGCGCAGGACATTTTGGAGGCAAATGCTTCAACTTTGATACAACAACATATTAATTATAATGGTAGACCATAGGGCAGAGGGTTGTAGTGGTACATCCCACCCCACTGGTTTGGAGCCTCCATCAGGCTGACATTAGCCAAGACTAGCTGGCAGAATTTCTGCTGTCCCAGCACTAGCCCCTCTTTTTCAACCAAACCGCACGGATGCAGAGGCAGCAGTTTGGATTGGTGTAACCACGGCTGCTTGTGTCTGAGCTGAGGTGTTATCCAAACATGTTAGTGTTGCTCTGTAACAGAAACAGGCACACTGATGTGCAGGATCGCCTAACTGATTGAAAATTGCATCACCTCTCAATAAAGGCATGGTTTTGACAAGAAATACTTTGAAGGTATGTTTTTGGAAAAAACAGCCACAAAGTAGAAACTTTAAGCAAAAGT